GTCTGGTGGAGGAGCCAGACATTGATCAAATGATCACATTAAAAAGCATAAAACGATCACTGGGATGCTCTGAAGGAGATACATAGGGTTGAGAGTCTCTATCAGGGAGTTTGACATAGTCTGGGGAATCCAGGACAGCAATCCCGAGGAAGTGAGCTGAGACTTGAGGTATGTGTAAGAGTTAAGTAGAAGAGGAGCATTTGGGCTAAAAGGACAGCATGTGTGAAGGTTCTGTGGCAAAATGAAAAATGGCAGGGCCTCTAATGATCAGTGCCTTCGACTCCCCCCGCCCCAGCACATCTAATCCATCAGCAAATTCTCTTGGTCTACATTCAAAATATACCCAGAACCTGAGCACTTCCCACCTCCTGATCCTTATTGTAGCCTCCTAATTCCTGTCCCTACATCTGCCCTTGCCCCCAAACCCATGGTCTCTTTTCAACACATTGGCCAGAGTAACCCTGTTAATACATAGGTCAGACCATGCCCACCTCAGCATAAAAATAGGGCCCGGTGTAATCTGGTCCCTCTGCCAACCCATCTTTCATTATCAAGGATGCATCAAACTCACAGACTTCTGCTGGCTGTTCCTCTGCTGGAATGTTCTTCCCAAGATACTTATATTTAGTTCCAGGATTTTTGTTGTTGTTGTTGATTCTTTGGGATTTTCTACACAGACAATCAGGTTGTCTGAGAACAAGACAGTTTTATTTCTTCCTTTCCAACCTGTAATGGTTACTTTTCCTCTCCCACTCCAGACAGGTAGACAGGTGTCTATTCAAAGGGCATTTTCTCAGGGATACCTTCCCTGCCCACCCTACCTAATACTGCATTCCCTTCCCCTGCTTCCATCCCCTGAACTCCCTCTCCCCTGCCCACATTTATTTTTCTCCATCACGCTTTTCACCGTCTGATATACAGAACATTTTACTTATTTATCATCTATGTTCTCCAACTAGTATGTAAGCTACCTGAGAGAGCACATTTTAATCTATTTTGTTCATTGTTGTATTGCAAACCTGCAACAGTATTTGGCACACAGTAGGTGCTCAGTAAATATTTCTGGAAAAGTGAATGAATTTGGCCTTTCTTAGTCCAACCATCTTTGGTAACCAGCTGTATCTGTGAACATGCTATTTATAAGTAATTGTAACAAGTGCTTAGACAAGCATTCTTTTAAAATCCATCTTAATAACATTTGTGTCTTCTACATGTGGTGCTCTGGGACATGACCAGGGTCTTGTTACTTGCTCTGGACTTTAGTAGAAGTGGAGGTGCAGAGAGTTTCAAAAGTTAAAGCCGAGCAGAACTTCTGACATGTAAAGAGTTTAGAAGCTGTCATTCCTATCCTCACAATAAGAAAAAAAAAAATCTAAACTAAAAATCAAAAACTGGAAATTAGTGGAACTCAGAATCATTAGACAATGGAAGTCACAGGGCAAAGTGCTCCCTGAAAACTGGAGAGTCAGGTGAATACAGAGAATCACAGTTTACTGGGAGCAGAAGCCTACAACTAGAGTCAATATCAGTAGACACACTAACCTGTAATTGAATTGTTGAGGGCTCGGTGTGGACTAGCTTGCAGTTTTAAAACTCCAAAGAGTCTAGTCCTTTGGGGGCCCTCATACTTTTATGATTTTTACCCCCAGGAACCCTACCAGATTCTCACTGTGAAAATCAGAGGAAAATCTGCTCCTGCTTCTGGCAGTGGGAGAGGAAAAGCAACCATTATAGACTGGAAAGAAAAAAAATAAAACTGTCTTGTTCTCAGATGACATGATTGTTTATGTAGAAGATCCTAAAGAATCAGCAAAAAAGAACAAAAAGAAAAATCCTGGAACTAAAAAACAACTATAGCAAGGTTGTAGGACACAAGGTTAATAAACAACAGTCAATTGTTTTCCTACATACCAGCAAAGAGCAACTAGAAATTGAAATTTAAATGTAACACCATTTACATTCACATAAAAAATGGAAATACTTTAGTATACATCTAACAAGATATGTAAAAGATCTGTATGAGGAAAACTATAAAACTCTGATGAAATAAATCAAAGAAGAACTTAATAAATATTCCATGTTCATGGATAGGAAGATTTCACTACTGTTAAGATGTCAGTTCTTCCAAACAAAACAAAACAAACAAACAAAGATGTCCATTCTTCCCAACTTGATCTATAGTTTCAACACAATCCCAATCAAAATCCCAGCAAGTTACTTTGTGAATACTAACAAATTGATTCTAAAGTTTATATGAAAAGGCACAAGACCTAGAATAGCCAACACAATTTTGAAGGAGAAGAACAAAATTGGAGGACTGATGCTACCCAACGTTAAGATTTTCTATAAAGCTGTAGAAATTAAAACAGTGTGGTATTGGGGAAAGAACAGACAAATAGATCAATGGAACAGAACTGAGAGAACCCAGAAATAGACCCACACAAATAGAGTCAACTGATCTTTGAAAAGAAGCAAAGGCAATTCAATAGTCTTTTTGACAAATGGTGCTGGAACAACTGGACATCACATATAACAAAATGAATCTAGACACAGACCTTACACCTTTCACAAAATTAACTCAAAATGGGTCATAGACCTAAATGTAAAATGAAAAACTATAAAACTACTTGAAGATAATATAGGAAAAAAATTTAGATGGTCTTGGGTTTGGCAATGAGTTTTAAGATACAATACCAAAAGCATGATCCATGAAAGAAAAATTTGATAAGTTGGACTTCATTAAAATTAAAAACTTCTGGGGTGCCTGGGTGGTTCAGTCTGTTAAGTGACTGCCTTCGGCTGGGGTCATGATCTCAGTGTCCTGGGATGGAGCCCTGCATCAGGCTCCCTGCTCCGCGGGGGGCCTGCTTCTCCCTCCCCCACTCCCCCTGCTTGTGTTCCCTCTCTCACTGTCTCTCTATCTGTGTCAAATAAATAAATAAAATCTTAAAAAAAGATTAAAAACTTCTGTCTTCAAAAGCCACTGTTAAGAGAATGAAAAGACCAGCCACAGTCTGGAAGAAAGCTTTGACCGCAGAACACATATCCGATAAAGGACTGCATGCAAGATATACAAAAGAACTCTTAAAACTTAACAGTATGAAAACAACCCAATTAAAAAGTGAGCAAAAGATCTGAATACACATCTCACCAAAGAAGATATATTGATGGCAAATAAGCATATGAAAAGATGTTCAACATTATATGTCGTTAGGAATTGCAAATTAAAACAACAATGAGATACCACTACACACCTACTAGAATGGCTAAAATCCAAAATACTGACAACACCAAATGTTGCCAAGGGTTAGAAGCAACAGGAGATTTTATTCATTGCTGGTGGGAATGCAAAATGGTACAGCCACTTTGGAAGACAGTCTGGCAGTTTCTTGCAAAGCTAACCATAGTCTTACCAAATGATCCAACAATCATATTTACCCAAATGTGTTGAAAAGTTATGTCTACACAAAAACCGGTAAGCGAATATTTATAGCAGCTTATGAAATGAGAAGCAACCAAGATATCCTTCAATATGTGAGAAGATAAACAAACTGGTACAACTATACAAGGGAATATTGTTTAGTGATGAAAAGAAATGAGCTATCAAGCCATGAAAAAAATGTTAGCCATGAAGGAAAGTTAAATGCATATTGCTAAGTGAAGAAGCCAGTCTGAAAAGGCTATATTCTGTATGATTCCAACTATATGACATTCTGGAAAAGGCAAAACTATAGAGAAGTAAAAAGATCAGTGGTTGCCAGGGTTTGGGGAGAGGGGAGGAGGGATGAACAGTGGAGCACAGGGGGTTTTTAGGGCAGTGAAACTCTTCTGTAAGATACTTTAATGGTGGATACTTGACATTTTGCATTTGGCAAAACCCACAGAACTGTACAACACACACATTCACACAACCCCTAATGTAAACTATGGACTTTTGAAGTTTATAACAACATATAGCTTTATCGGTAGTAACAATGTATCACACCAATGTAAGATGTTCATAATGGGGAAAAGGGAGGAGTATATAGGGACTCTGTATTTTCTGTTCAATGTTTCTGTAAATCTAAAACTGCTCTAAGAAATAAAGCCTATTAAAAAAAATTTTTTTTTTAAAGTTAAGGCTAAGTCTTCATGGAAGGAACTCTCGGCTCAGGAAAGACTTGGAGCTAACTCATGGGGAGAGGGGCACCCACCCACTAGGCTACTTCCTGTAGCAAAGCAAAGGTCCCAGAGGCAGTTGAGCACTGGGGACAGAGACCAGGGAGGAAGGGCTGAGGCCCCTTCCAGGCATGAGCCTCCTCTGACCCCACCAGCCTCCCTCTTCTTTCTCCCTCTCTCTTTTTTATTATGTTTTCCTAGAGTATTCCCAGCAACAGACTGGGGTTCTGGGGGTGGAGAGAAGCCAAGAGATTCCTAGTTGGGAGCCCTGTGCACCGACTGCCTGTCAGGCCCGCATCAACGTAGGGACGGGTTTGAGGTGGGGGTGGGGCGCACATGTCTGGTTCGCCGGGTGGGAGTCCCGCTCTGAGGGGACTCGCTCGTCCGGGTCTAGGTCCCGTGGGGGCTGGCCCTGAATCGGGAATATGCGGGAAGTGGTTACCAACAAGCCCCTTAGTTCCCGCTCCGCCTCTCCGTACTGTGCAGCAGGGCTCTGTAGCGGATAACCAGAAGAGGGTGCTGGTCCGACGGACCTAGGTCGGAGTTCTGACCATGCCACCTACTGTGTGACTTCGGGCAGGTGACCCACCCTCTGCACCTCACTAACTCCTGTACCATACGGAAACTAAGTGTCTGTTTGGAGAGGCGAGGAGGCTGTACGTGGAGATTCACAGAATGACGTGGGGAGAGACCTCGCTCGCCAGTCCGGCAGTGAGCATCGGGCCAGCGGCAGGGCAAGGCGCCCGGGCGAGCTTGTGAGCTCCGACTCAGGTCCAGGCCCCCCCAGTAGCTGCGGCTCCCCGGGTTTCAGCCTGGGACCTTCCGCCCTTCCCGGCACTTACAGCGGTCACTCCGCTCCTCACTTCTAAGGCCAGAGCAGCTCTGTCTCCTCTTCCGGACGCCTGCACGCGCTGCCCCAGCAACCGTCACCAGGGAAACCAGAAACGCTCTATGCGTGACGTCACCACGTGTCTACGGAGGCCGACGGGGCTCCGGGAGTTGGAAAAGTGACGGTGGCGTTTGTGGCCCAGGTTGAGGAGGTGTGGGAATAGGGGCGGTGGGCTGGGTGGAAAAAGGCGTCGTGTGCCTGAGACTTTAAAGTTGGCCCAGCCATCCGATTCTGGAACGTATGTTTTAAAAGTGTCGTCGGCCAAACATTTTGGGCAGAGATGCACATTCAGTGGTCCTGTAAGGGAGTTGAAAAGTGAATGATCCCACCACGAAATGTGACGCATTCAGAATGTCTTTGAAAAATATGGGGGGAAATTATGTTGTGACGGTGAGTGAAAAAAGCAGGACGCAAAATAGTAATTGCTGAATAAAGTTGTGTTTTTTAAAACGGAAACAAGACTGTGAAGAATACATAGAAATATTAAAAGAAAATGGTTATATTTGGATGGTGGAATTACAGTGCTGTTTTTATTTTTGCTTGGGGGATTTATGGTTTATTTTCATCGTGGAAAACACTTGTATGTTTGTTTTTTTAAGACACTGCCCAACTTAAGTCACTACTATATTCAGGCTATATGGAAGCGGGAGGCAAATTTCTATGAAAGGAGATCCAAGGAAGCTTTCCCAATATTTATCGAGGCCTTCATAATTTGAAAATGTCCAGACATCTCATAATTGCTTTTATTTTTTCCTCATAAGGCATTCACTCCATAGACATTCACGAAGATGTGGCACCAGACCACATTTTGCAACATCAATCAGAATATTGACACAGATACACCTATCTTATTCATGTTTAATTTGTGTTCATGTTTGTGATGTATTTTGTCCTGCTCAATTTTACAACGTGTAGGTTTTCGTACCCACCACCAGTCAGGACACCGAATATTTCATTCACAAGGATCCCTCTCTTGGGAGTTTATAACCACATCCACATCCCTCCCCTACCTCCCAGTCCCTAAACCCTGGTAACCACCCATTTGTCTTTTCTAAAATGTTGTCATTTCAAAATTTTTATATAAATATACAATATCTAACTTTTGGGGATTGATTTTTTTTTTTTTAACTCAAGAGTAATTATCTGGAAATTGATCCAAATTGTTGTGTATCAATAATTTGCTCCTTTTTATTGCTGGGTAGTTTTCCATGGTATGGATATGCCAGTTTATTTAACCACTTACCCATTGGAAGACTTCTGGGTTGTTTCCAGTTTGGGGATATTATGAATAAAGCTGATATGAACATTTATTTATTTATTTACTGGGTTCCTCTGAGGCGACCAAGTGGACACTGAACTCCAACCTAGAATCATTTATCACTGCTTAATTTGGAAAAAATTTTCTAACATTTACCTTGCTAAAAGCTAATTCTTTATTTCAAACAGAATCAGGTATATAAATAATAATTGGCAGTTCTATCATTTGACACAGGAGAACTTTAAAATACTTTATATTCATTCAGCTTTGTTCCGGCTTAGTAAGTATGTTACAACGGGCTTTAGATTTACATGGAGATAGAGCCTAAATTACAAGTTCCTGAAAACTCTCCAAGTAGCATTTCCTCAACTGTGAGGCAAGAGGCTTGCCGGGACTGATCCTCTACTCCAAAATCCTGACGGGGAAGCAGCGTACTTTGAAGATTTCAGTTCCAACTCTTACCACCAGATGTCACTGTTGCTCATCAGAAATAGGGAACCTCCAGTGAGACTCATGAATGTAAAAAAACAAAACCTACTTATTCCAATTAAACAAATATTTATTGAATATTTATATGAGCCAGGCACTAGTGCCAGGTGCTTTGGATGAAAAAGATCATCATGGCCTCAAAGATACTAGAGGAGACATGGAAGCAATCACACACCAATGCCCCAGTAACATGTAACATTAAGCCAAGGAATCAAACTCTCAGTGACAATCAACATACCACCTCTTTAAAGTACAACATTGCTTCCTGAGGGATACTTTCTCTGACTCCAACCCTGGGTTAAGTCCCCCCGCTGGATGTTACTGTTGCTACCTATACCTAGCATTCAACATGCTTTTTTATAATCACTTAATGATGGCCTTCCCTGCTGGACTGTCAGTTGTGAGGACAGGGCCCTCGCACCGGCCCTGCTGCTTTCCCAAGCTTACCACAGTACTGACAGAAGTAGCGGTCATTTGCTGAGTTTACTTATGCATCAGGTGCTATGACAGGCTCCTTACAGTCACCACTACATTTTATCTTCCCAACGACCCTTAGCCACTGATACTGTCCCTATCTTACAGATGAGGAAGCCATGGCTACTTGACTAGTAGGTGGCAGAACTGTGAACCCAGGACTGACTTAATAACATGTAATATCACATCCACCTGAGCCACTATTAAGAATTTCCATTATCTGATGCCAATCTATTCATCCAGCTAATTTACCACTCTTCCTTGAATAAGCAACCCCACCCTTAATAACATAATGCTCAGTACCCTTTCAACACTTCACTTTTGTGTGGCCTATCCTCTGGCATTGGTCTAGATCAACTTCTCTCAAATGAGTAATTTAGTTTAACAAATCAATAATGTACTCATCTATTCGAACAACAATTTTCTGAAAATTGCTCCCAAATTTGTTCTACAGAAGGCTTATCCTTCATGAAACAATTGTTGGGACTGCCTACCAGGATCTCCTATCAGGTCTACTGGAACCTGAGAAAATAGTTCCTAGTAATAGCTTTATTTTTAAAGCACTTTTCAAACTCATATAATGACCTATAAGCTATATAGGACTTCTCATTTTATAGCTAAGATTGAGAAAACTTGGATTTGATCCAAGTTATAAAGTCAGTGGTGAGTCAAGACCATGCTGTAACCTCCTGCCTAATTTTATTAATATATGGTAACTGCTGCCACTCCAGTATTAATTTCACAAAGGCCAACACCTGTTAGCATCTACAACTTGACTGCCCAGGTTCCAGTCCCAAACCTACACCCCTCTCTAGCTATGTGATCCTGGGTTAGATATTTACACTGTTCATGCCTCAGCCTCCTCCTCTGTTAAATAAGGATCATAGTTCCTACCTCTTAGGGTTGTTAGGAAATCCAAATGACATTATACATGAAAAGCACTTAGAATAGTGTGTGGCACATAGTAAATACTCAATAGATACTATTATTCCTATTTGATAAATATTCTTTAACCATAGTTCCTACCAAAGGTACAAAACATTCTCTCTCTTCTTGGAACTTAATCCTTGTGTTACTTTGAGGAATGATTGATTTTTTCCAAACGGAAATAAATACAAGGCAATTGATGTGTTCACTGACTTTACTAACACTACATTTACCATGTTATCACCATGGAATGTAAATTCAGGTTAGACAAGAAAATTTCACAAGTGTCATAAAGCATTCTGGAATATACCAAAGTTTGTGTATAATGTCTGACCAAACCACCTTGCTGATGAATCATTAATCACTTCAATTATAGGTAATTTGTTAACATTTATGATTCTTACAGAGAAAATAAACAAACTTCATACATTTAAAAAGTGTTTTTCATCTAACCTTTGCATTAGTACTTAAAATACACATTTCTATTTTAAGATAACATTTAAAAATTATTCTAATATAACAACAGCATAAATATAACTCTGCAATTACAAAAAAAGCTAAACTGGGATCCACAGTTAAGTTACTCTCATGTTTACAAGTATGATTCTGAAATAAATACTACTTCTAAGCAGCTGTTATCGGCTTTTTTAGGTTTGGTTTAAATACATGTATTTTCGGTTTGGGGAAGCTTATTATATTATATTCCATGCACTGTTCTGACAGGGTTAAGAGCCAACCAGCCCTAAAAACTGAAGTACTCAGTCTGCAAAACAGGCAGAAAAAAGTTAAAATGGGATTCCTACATAACATCAAAAGCATGTGATATTCTGCAGCAACTGGGAGTATTCAGGATTGGCAAATTGTTCTCTTTTTAACTGATTTTATCAGAAGAGTTTAAGAAGGAGCATATTTTACCACTATCAAGTACATTTAAAAGTGACATGTTTCTTTTGTTCTAATTTGACTCCGCTGAATGACCTAGCTAGTTAACTGGTCACTAGTAATTTGGTTACCAGGCAAATCAAGCCTGCAAGAAAGGAAGCCAATATTTAAATTACTGTGTTATTGTGTGACCCATTCAAATGATTTATTTTCAACATAAACATATAAACTCAGTATGAGATGCCTAGCTAAAGCAAGCACCACCAACAAAACCAAGACAGTTTCTCTTCTTCTAAGGTTTAGGCTTTGCCCAGAATTCCTTATACATGGAATAGCCCATACC